TTCTGTATCCATCTGTCATCTCTTGTTTTAGACTGCAAACTTTTTAGGGCAAGGACTTCTTTTTGGCATATGCATGTACAGTGCTTAGCAAGAGATGGCCCTGATCCTGGAGTTCTACCTCTAAGTGCTCCTGTTAGACAATCATATATATAGTAGCCCAATGTCTGTAACTGTAATGCTGAAATGCTGGCTGTTCCCTCTGGGGGGCACTGTTGCCTCCCGCCATGGCACTCGGCTCACTTTTGCGCTGCTCAGCTGGGCCACTACAGGGGAGCCCAAAACGGCCGCTTGCTCTGCTTGTTCCCCCGCGGTGGCCTGGCTGAGTGGCACAGAAGTCAGCTGAGCACCATGATGGGAGGCGAAGGGGGGGCGGGGCGGTGACGTGTGGCATGATAGCGGCTCCAGGCCCCACACCCTGGCCATGAACAGACCCTGGCCAGGAGGAGGGTGGGAGGGGTGGGGGGAAGGAAAGGACAACTGGGAGGCTACAGGATCAGTGCTGGGGTGAAGGGAAATGGTGCAGGGGGCAGCTGGAGCTCATAGGCAGCTGCTCAGCTGGGCTGCCATGCGGGAGCAAGCGGCGCAAACAGCCGTTTGGGCTCCGCGCTCCCCATGCAGGAGGAGGGGGAGAAGAGAAAGAGAGACGGAGAGAGAGAAAGGAGATGGAGGAGAACTGGTGGGGGGGAGGCAATAGGAGAAGGGGAGAGAGAGAGAGACAGAGTGAGAGACCTGAGGCTCAGGAGAGAAGACTGAGATAGGAAGGGAATAGGATGTGGAGGAGAGACCTGAAAATCCCGTTTTATGATGGGCTAATTGGCTAGTTAAATAAATAATAGGCTGGGTAATTTAGTTTCCATAGTTGCCTGTTGCTGCTGCCAAGGGTCCCTGGGCCAGACCCTGGAGTATAGTGAGCAGGCCCAGGTTCTCCCCAACCTCCCCACAACATCTCAACCTCTGTCTTGAGAAGGGAGATCAGGACTCCAGACTTATGAACTAGCCTGTGAAGTATATGGCTTATCAGGCTGTGACTCCTTACTAGTAGAGGGAAAGAAGCTGTGTGAAGGGCCACAGTGAACCTCTGAGACTAACACTATCAGCCAGTAGTGTGAGACCCATTGGGGAATAGCTGGAGCTTTGCCACAATACATATTGTACTTCTGTTTCAACAGTATTAATGGCAGGAACACACACTGTATATATAGGACAGGGTAACATATAAAGCTTGTTGAAGAAACATGATTTGGAACATTTCAGTATTTCAAATTTGGTTTCATTCTGATCTGGAACAAAACTAAAACATTGGAAATTCTCCTTGAAAGGGGATGGACCCTAGCTCCAAGGCTGTCTGTCTGGCAAGCCACTTTGGAGCCACAGACCCTGGAAAACCTATGGTCTCTGACGGAAAGGCAATCTGGCAAGCATACTGCAGAGGAACCAGGTAGGGGAGCTGGCAAGAAATCAAGCAGGTTTCTGATGGAAACCTGCCTGGCTTCCACTGGAATGACATTGAAATTAAACTGTCTCCATGAAATGCTTCAATGTCAATGACTCTGCACATTTGGATATAAAAATGTTTGGTTAGTTTTTCAGACCAGCTTTATAAATAAATCCTGAAAAGTTATTTTGTGCCTATGGAGTAAGCTGGAACCTGATCTAAAACAACTCTGTCCATGTGAAATAAGTCCTGGGATGCAGTAATACACCGGGCTAAGACAGAGTGAGGAGAACACCAGCATGAATGGAGAGGGAAGGGGGATATTGCTTCCATTGATCATTCTGAGAAAGTTCACACATGGATGTGGAACATGAAACAAGGAGCATGCAAATTTTTAAGGAAACTCTTGTTTGATGTTAACACATAGGCGACATGGTGCAAGAACAAGTCATTGTTGTAAACAGTACCCTCGTAATGATGTTAATCCCACTACTGTCCATGTAAACTAACTTCAGCAGAAAAGTGGGTTGGACAATATACGTTAGAGATAATAGGAGAGGCTTTAACTTATAAAAAAAAGATTTTTCCAAAAATGTTGGAAGTTCTTTATGAATGAACTGATAAAACATAAAACAAACATTTGTGAGGGGAGGACAGATTTTTCCCCTGCTCTTGGTTTGTTAATATTCCACAAAGTATTGTGTTCTCAATGAAGTTCTAATTGTTCTCCAATGCAATAATCCTGACTGACAAATTTGTTTCAAGTACACACGTGTTTTTCTGTAGAGTTTTCATTATGGTACCCCCAAATTGTCTTATTTCAGTCCTTTGTGTAGAAATAAGTAAGCCATAATAATAAAAATACTTATAACACATAAAACTACTACTATTATTACTTAGTTATTGTATATTGCTTTTTATATAGTCCAAACATTTTATCGGAAAAAAGTAGGAATTTCTTTTTTTTAGGAATCACAAAACCCATCAATATTCTCATTTCAATATGTAAGACAACTCTACCAACAGATACATGTCCAGCAAACAATAGTCCCAGTTATCAAAAGGCCATAGGATAATATTCTGTTGGGATACATAACAAATAATAATACTTTGCGCTAGGGATGTAAGTGACTGGTTGAGTAGTCGACTACCCAATAAACATAGGCTTATCAGGTAGTTGAGTGACTACTTGACTATTCGCTCCCCCGCTCCCACTCCCCACCTGCACTGCCTCTGCTTAGAGGCAGCAAGGGGGGAAAGCAGGAGCTGGTGCTGGGAGGAGCCATCTTAAAAGCTGGTTCCCCCCAGGCCTGTCTCCATGGTGCCGTGGGGACAGAGGAGGCAGAGCCATAGCAGTCCTGGGGACGGTGTGAACCGGGACAGTCCCAGCTTGTGCCAGCTCCAGGACCACTGCAGCTCTGCACTTTAAATGTAGTTAGTTATGTGAAACTGAGTGACCAAGGGTCCTAAAAGAAATTGAACTGAGATTGATGTGCCTAATCCTAGAGGAAAAGGAACAGAAGGTATCCCTCAGGGGGTAGGCTCTGCCTGCTTTAAGATGCTTGATCAGGGTCAGTGAGGTGATACAGAAGGTATGTCAGCAAAAAAATTCACCTCAAATGATGTGAAACCAGTCACAGTACTGTACCAACACCAGAGATGGGAATAAAACTCCCATCTCCTGAGTTCTACAGGTTGCACCACCCAAAACCAGAATTCTCTAGTGGCGCAATATCCATGGTCCAGCAGGGCCATAGAAGTTCCTGGCTCAGAGAACCCTGGCAGCCTAGTGGCAGCAGGGCCATCCAGGAGGGGCTGGACTAAAGCAGTGGGATGGAGCAGAGGCTGGGCCTGGGGCCTGCAGCTGTGGGGCTGGAGCCAGCAACAGTCCCTAGCAGCCTTCAACAGCCTGCAGCACTGAGACCATGTTGGGGCTGCTCCCAGCAGCGCAGGATTGGGCTGGCAATAGCCCGTAGCAGTAGAAGGCTGGGGCAAGAGCCTCAGGCAGACCGCGGAAGAGGGGCCAGAGCTTGTGGGCTGCTACAGGGCAGGAGCCTGTGCTCTTGGCAGGCTGGTGACAGCCCCAGCAACCTGCGGCAGCGTGGGGCCAGAGTAGGCAGTAAGGCCAGGGCAGTGGCAGCAGGGCCAGCAATCCAACAGGCAGCCCAACAGGGGCTGGAAGTAGTCCCCCCATTTTCCATCTCCTGCCCCCAACCGGCAGAGTCCGTCTTGGGGCTGTGGCAGGGGACCATCTCTAGTCTGGCAAATTCCCTGGTTCAAGATTGATCAACTCCTAAGCGGGCCAGATAAGAGATGTCCAACCAGTAGTCATCTGCTCTAACCATGCCACACTCTCCTCATTTTCATTTCAAGGATTTCTTTAAGAGATAAATATTGAACTAAAAACTGCATCTATTTTTTAAACTTATAATGAAAGTAAGAAAAACTCGTTTAACAGCTTCATTGAAATGGGGTAGTGGTATGCATCCTGAGGAAGACCACACCAAGGAAGTGAATTGTAGCAAACATCAGCACCTAGTTGTTACCCACGGTGAATAAAATACAGAGCACCAGATGCTACTTACAGCTGACACACCCATACATTAGGATAACTTAAATCCATGGCACTGGATGTGTTTCCTGGCAATCATGACAAAGATAGTAGAAGAAAGTTCAAAAAAATGTCAATTAAATGGATACTGCTGGTGTCAAAGTCATAGGCTGATCTAAGCATTTTTTATGATAAAGCAATGATATTGTTACCACAACAGATTGATCAATTCAAAAAAAATTGGCTATCTATTATTTATATAATTTGGATTAAGGTGTTTGGCATCATGATGAACATGGACATTGGGATAAGATAAAAAGGAGTGTGATCTGCGCAACTATAATTTACAGACACCTTACTCTTTTAGAAAATAGCAGCACTGAGAACACTTTCATTCTGAGTAACTCAGGATGTTGAAGAATTTGGGAAGGGAGAACTGATCAACAGTTTGTTTCCTGTGGACAGAAGCTGGGTTAGCTCAAAGCAACATCTATAAACACTAACGGTCACTTTTCTCTTCATATAAAAAACCTCTAGCTTCAAAATGTGGTTTAAAATGAAAAATGTAGGAGTGGTTTGGGCACTTAAAGCCTTCCTTTAAATGTAGACAAAATACCTTTCAGGTTGAGTACAAGGATTCAGACACAAGCCACTAACACAGCAAGCAGTGTAAATAGTACTCACACTGAATGGGTTTAATGAGTCATATACCAAAGAAACAGAAATACACACCTCAAAGAGATCCCTTATAGTAATCACTAACTCAGTGTCTGAGTTGTTTGCACTAAGGGTCATTCATTATGCGCGCCCTAGCATGTGCATAATAGGAATATTATGACGAAGAGTTGAGTACATCTACCCTACATTTCATCAATACTTTTATGAATTAAAGATTCCATAGGGATGAATTGCATTAATCTGCAAAGTATTTTTAAAACAAGAGTCATTGTTAATCCCACAATGTAATACTGATAACCAAATAAAGACAAAAAGCACAAGGGTAGAACAACTCACCGTTGCAAATGAAGAAAGGAAGAATAGTGTTCAGCAAACAACCTAAAATGAAAGAATATGATTTTTGTTCTTCTATTTCATAGTTAAAGTATAACTAACTTTTACACTTAAGCAATAGCTTGCTAAATATAGCCATGACTGTGACAAATATCTGTTACTACTTTCCTGAGCCTCTGATTGCACTTGGGAGCTAATTCATACTTATATTAAGATATATAATGAAAAAAATAAACATGATTTAAAAAAAAATCTCTTTTCTAACTAACTACATTAGAAGTACTGTAGGATGGGAGCTGTAGGCTGCAGCCAGTGGAATGTGAGTCTGTGATTGGGTGAGGGTAAAGGCGATGATATTCTAGGCCTTCAAGTGATAGTCTTTTAGTACAAGAGCATCCCTCACTGGTCAAGATGAGGCACTGACCTAGATGATGTTTTGCCTCACTGTTATGGATGAATACTGATGCTGAAGCAACCAAGAACACAACCGTGGGAGAAATGGTGATGCAGTGCTAGAAGTATATCATAAGAGCAGAGCTGATGCCTAAGTGGATTCAGATAAAACTACACCAGTAATCTAGGATTTCTTTTCTTTCTCTCATATTTCTGCAGCAAGGAAGGTTAGGTCAACGCTAGGAAAAATTTCATAATTCTCAGGGTGGGTAAGCACTGGAATAAATTGCCTAGTTGTGGAAGTTGTGGAATCTCCATCATTGGAGAGATCTGAGTATCAAGTTAGGTGAGTATCTATCTAAGTTAGGGATGATCTAGAATGATGATGGCTGGTCCTGCCATGAGGGCAGGGAACTGGACTTGATGACCTCTTGAGGTCCCTTCCAGTTCAATGATTCTACGATATACAAATGAAGAGCAGAAAGAGACGATAGATAGATAGATAGATAGATAGATAGATAGATAGATAGATAGATAGATAGATAGATAGATACGCAGCTATAGCTAATTAATTCAAATAATGATGGAAACCACAACTAAACTATTAACATGACTAAATTACTAAATCAAATAGGATAGATTGTGGCCTGGATTCTGGCATTTCCCTAGATAAGGATCAGAAAGGAGAGACAGTTGTAACTGAGTCTCCAGTGTAACATTCTACCAGTGCATTCACTTTAGATTTGAACTGTGTGTGCCCTCCAATGGTATGTGTTTCTGAGGCCTAGAAGGCACAGAAGTGGGCCAGTGTAGGTAATGCAGGGCTCCACTGCTCAGCTGTGCTAGACACTGTGCAAACACATGGTAAGACATAACTGCTGCTCTAATGAGTTTCAATCTAATTTAGACCTACCCATAACTTCCAGAGACGTGTATGCAGATGCTTATCATTTACATCTATTGGACACATTTGGTTAAAGTGAACATAAAGTAACCACATCTAACTCAAATGTCAGACACCCCTTAAGTGAAAATTAACTAGACCCTGTGTTTATTATAGCAGAGCTTGCTAGACCTCTTCAGGTTCAGGGTCAGTTAATGTTTCTTTATGAACCCCTTTATGAAAATTTTCAGTGCTTTATAGCTCAACCATTAAATTTAGCTTGAAGGCAAGGCTTCCCACAAAAGGTTTAATTCTGGAAGTGATTTTTTTTTTTTTTTGTAATACATTTTCAAAGAAATCTCTTTGGCCATTTTTAAAATACAAAGAGTATAAAAACAGTTAATTGGTTTAAGCTCTTTTTAGAGCTCACTATAATTCAGAAACAACTTTGGACCAATCTTTTTTGGTATTTGAAGCCTAGCTAGCACGTTTATACTGGGAGTTTTTATTGTGCTTTCAATATGCATATCCATGCACATGCCAGTATGTATCTTTTTATAATTATTTTAGTTTGTTTTTCATTCTAGGGGAGTCAAAATCTTGTTTGTTTTACCCATATGAACACAGTGAGATTATATGAAGTTAATGATATTACTCACACAAGTATAAGAATTTGGTCCAGGCCCCCTTTGATATTGGCAATATCATTCTAGAAGATTGAGATGACATTTCATTGAGTTTCATTCATTCATTCATTCATTCTTCTGTTGAATCTTCTTTTTGCACAGCTTTTCAACAGGGGTGAGAATTCTATTGCTCTATTCTGTGTGGGCATGTCTACACTAGGAAATTATTTCACAATTTTTACCTACACAAAATGCCCAAACTCTTTAAGGGCACCCACCCTTACCCTTTCTAGGGCTCAGGCATAACCCTCTCAATATAGGAACCCACCCTAACCTGTTTCTAGGGCTCAGGCAGATGAACTCGTATTGATGGCCAGTCAGAATCAGGTCCATCTGGGGGACTCCAGTTTCAACATGGTGTCATTGGCACAGGGTTAATGTATGAGGATATGTCTACACTACAAAGTTAATTCGAACTAACAGCCGTTAGTTTGAATTAACTTTAATAGGGCTACACATACAAACTGCTAGTTCAAATTTAAATCCAACTAGTGTAGCACTTAAGTCGAACTAGGTAAACCTCATTCTACGAGGACTAACACCTAGTTCGAATTAACTAGTTCGAATTAAGGGCTGTGTACCCACTTAATTCAAACTAGTTGGAGGCTAGCCCTTGAGTCTAGCCCTCCCCGGCTTGCCCTGGTGGCCACTCTGGCCAACACCAGGGAAACTCTATTGCCCCCCTCCCGGCCCCGGCCCCCTTAAAGGGGCATGGGATGGCTACGGTGCCCGTGCCAGGTGCAAGCCTGCCAGCACGCAGCAAGCAGACCCTGCACCTGGCACGGCTCGAGCCACCCACCCGCTGCCACCCAGCCCTCCGCCCCCTCCCCGGACCAGGCTGGCAGCCCTCAGGAGCCTGCCTGGGGCTACAAGAGGCAGGGGGCCGCCCGGGCTAGTGCCCTTAAAGGGGCATGGGATGGCTACGGTGCCCGTGCCAGGTGCAAGCCTGCCAGCACGCAGCAAGCAGACCCTGCACCTGGCACGGCTCGAGCCACCCACCCGCTGCCACCCAGCCCTCCGCCCCCTCCCCGGACCAGGCTGGCAGCCCTCAGGAGCCTGCCTGGGGCTACAAGAGGCAGGGGGCCGCCCGGGCTAGTGCGGAGATCGTGGCCCTCATCCAGGTTTGGGGGGAGGCCTCCAATGTCCATGATCTCCACACTAGGCACAGGAAAGCGGTTGTCTAGGGCAGGATAGCTGCCAGCCTGGCCACCAAAGGCCACATGCGAACTCAGGAGCAGGTTTGCATGAAAATCAAGTTGATCCAGTCAGACCCCCGACCCTGAGCCCTGAGCTTAGAACATAAGAACATAAGAACGGCCGTACTGGGTCAGACCAAAGGTCCATCTAGCCCAGTAG